TGAGATAAGCCTGACTCCTCACCCAATAAAGTCTTGTTGAATGGGAGGATTATCCTCTCTTATAAACCAGTAGACTTGAGCATGAGGGAGAGTGTTGGAGTCTCACGCCAACTAGGCACACTCAAGCCTACTAGTTTATAAGAAGGGGTAATCCTCCCATTCAACAAAGCCTTATTGGGTGAGGAGTCAGGCTCACCTCAAATTCTATCATGATTTTTTTTTTTAAAGAAATTCTATTGAATTGTATTGAGTTGTGCATACGCAACCTATTTATACAAAAATGTGATAGCTATGTAAGGATATAAAATATTACAAATAATGATACAATCTCAATAATAAAGCAAACAAAATCATATTTTAGCATAATTAAGAATGAGAATAATTCACATATTCTCATTCCATGTCTAGATAATATGTGAATTAATGTCACATATTTTCTTCTCATATTCGCATGTCAACACTCCCCCTCAAGCTTGTGGTTTGTATAAGTCATAAAAAGCTTGCGCAGTGGATGTGAATATTGTCTGCCATTAGATTAGAGTGGATTGATTAGCGAAAGCTTGATTATGTAAGAAGTTGTCTAACCCGAGTGCTTATATATCTTGCAGGTTGAAGTAGAACTTGAGGCTAGAGTGGGTTGATTAGCGGAACAACTTAATAACCCAGGATAGTAGTAAAAGCTGAAAATGTTTCAATTTGCACTAGGAAAATTCCAGGGAAACACTAGAGGGGTCACAAATGGTCCCACTTAAAACCCAGCCTCTTTAGTCATTTATCGTCTTATTGACAGAATTTTCCTAGATATGCATATATCCATATAAATAGCTACTCACTATCCTAAACCTAGATGCTCTGATACCATGTCAGAATTGAGAGGGCAAGAGAGACAATTGAAGAGAGCCAAAGTATGCCCAAGAGATATCTTTGAGAGGGCAAGAGAAACAACCCAAAAGATTTCCCTCTAGTGATGGTGAGCACTTGGTCTGTAAGCTTAAGAAATCCATATACGGTCTAAAACAAACATCCTGTCAATGGTATTTTAAATTTCATGGAGTAATTTCTTTATTTGGATTTACTGAAAACCCCATAGATCAATGTATATACCAGAAAGTTAGTGGGAGTAAGATATGTTTTCTTGTTTTATACTTAGATGACATTTTGCTTGCAACCAATGATAAGGGTTTGCTTCATGAGGTAAAACAATTCCTCTCTAAAAATTTTGATATGAAGGATATGGGTGAGACATTTTATGTCATTGGCATCAAGATCCATAGATATAGATTACGAGGTATCTTAGGTCTGTCTCAATAAACTTATATCAATAAGGTTTTAGAGAGATTTCGAATGAAAGATTGTTCACCAAGTGTGGCTTCTGTTGTGAAAGGTGATAAGTTCAATTTGAACCAATGCCCGACAAACGATTTTGAAAGAAAACAAATGAAGAACATTCTATATGCTTCTACAGTCGAAAGATTGATGTATGCTTAGGTCTCTACAAGGCTTGACATTGCATTTACTGTTGCAATGTTGGGACGATATTAGAGTAATCCAAGTATAGACCATTGGCGAACTGCAAAGAAAATGATGAGGTGCCTTCAAAGAACCAAAAACTACATGCTTATGTATAGACTGACGGACAATCTAGAAGTGATCAGCTATTTAGATTCAGACTTTGTTGGCTGTGTTGATTCACGCAAATCAATATTAGGATATGTTTTCATAATGGCTAGTGGAGTTGTATCTGGGAGAAGTGTCAAGTAGTCCTCGATTGCTACTTCCACTATGGAAGTTGAGTTCGTTTCATGTTTTGAGGCTACTTCACATGGTGTATGGTTAGAGAGTTTCATATCAGGGCTTTTGTTCTTATCAGTTTAAAAGACATAAATTTCTGAGTCGGAGATTTCTCCGCAATTTGTTCTTTAATGGGCTTGAAGCTCACTAACCCAATTTACTTATTTTTAGTCCAAAACGGAGAAACAAAGGGAGTAAAATCTGGGCTTCACTTATCTAGCCAACTTCTGGTCTATCGTATACATAGGCCTAAAGGATGGCCCCTTCTGTTTGAAGATTTGACCTGGTTACTTAACGCCTTGTTGGTGAGGACTCAAAAGGGAAAACGACTGCCCTATTCTGTTATTCATCTTAAAAGTAGTTCTAACTTTAATTCTTTTTATAGAAAACGTGGATCCCATTAGATTCTCTCAGCAGAAATGAGTCAATAGGATGATGCATCTTGTACCAACCCCCCCACAAGCTAATACTATCGAACTTTTAAGTGGGTATTTGGTGTTCTAATAAAAGTTTAGCATGTTCATTGGATTACATCTATTGAAAGCGTCGCCTCTTAAGAGTCTCTGGCTGTGAATCGTTCTGTATCTGTATTGTGACATATAATAATGCAGCAAACGACTGTAAAACTAAACAGGATCTTGACATGTAGTCCCCAAGACATGAGAATATGGGTCTCATGTCTTTTTGACCAAATACAAATAATTTCATTCAAACCCAGAAATGAACTTGGCTAGCATTAAAAGCTATGAAGTGTATGGTGGATCTGTTCATTTCCCTCTACTGTCTACAAGCCTTGTCTTTCAGTCATCAAAGTGTTATAATTCATAAGAAGTATGTAAATAATGTCAAATATTTATTTATGTTACTATAATCTAACCCTTCTCTATAAATAGATTTCAGAATTACACAATCCTTCGAAAAAAATCATCTTAATTTACAATTAATGTACGTACAAGCAATTGTATCAGTATACATACAATTAGCATCAATTATTACAAATAAAGAATAAAGTGCTAATTATTATTGAAAGTCACCTGAGTGGGATCACATTAAACTAGAAACATAAAAAAGCATCAGGTAGCTCTTAAAGCTTAAAGCCTTAAAGCACTTTTCTAGTGCAACATGGACCTTACAAATTAAATTTCTTCTTATTTTTTCAGGTGAAGGAAATTTTATCGTGCACTATCAAGTTTACGTGTGAAGTAGAAGAACTTGTTACTTCCACTTTCTTCAACTTTGCTTTTGTTGCCACTCATAAAAGAAAGGCTTGGTTGTAATGACTAATGAGGAGGGACCAAAACTGACCCACTAGTCGGAACAAGCAAGTCCCCACATCTCTGAATCCAAAGCATCTTCTATGGGATTGTGAGAGTTGGAGGTGATGGTATCTGTATTAAAGCACCAAAACAAGACCCAGACACTTTCATTCTCAGCCCCTTCATTAGCTTTAGGCTTTTAGTTATATCCAGACAACTTGCTACGTATCAAATAACAGCACTAGCTATGAACAAACACCGGGTCTTGTATCTGTTTCCTCTTCTTAAAAGTTAACCTATTCCTTCCAGCTAATTAAGCTTTCATTTTCATTGAACATTCTACCTTTGAATATCTGATTAGGGAAACTTATTAGCTTGTTGTTCTTCCACATGTCACGACCGGAAAGCACAGGAGAGCAAAGCAAATTTGCTTTGTACCCAACCAACAAAAAGATAAGGAGCACATGTTACAGTTGCTCCAAGTCAAAAATTTAAAAACAAATTCCAGTCCCAGTACAATTTAGTATCCAATGATCCAACACTGCTATAATTCCAACCAAATCGTTTACAAACCAACATTCGCTGCATGTAGTCCCTACCGATTCTATTCTTACCTAATTTCTCTCTGGTACCGCAAGACTCGTAGTTTAATCGGAGAGCGAATTCTTATACTGCTGAGCGTTAGGAAGAAGCTGAAGCAAGACATTAACAATAGAGCAATGCTAATTTTACAACGACACATATAAAAGAGGTATACAAAGATAATCTCCACTCTTAGTTTTCACGATTTTTCTCTCTCTTTTTTTCTTTTTTTGTTTTTTCTTTTGTTTCTTTTTCTAAATAATGTCGCTTTATAATTTTCTTTGTATGAGTTTTTATAAAGATAATATTTTCCTTAACAATAATGTTGGGGGCAAAGGGACGAGATAATTATTTGTAGAATTAGGTTAATTAAAGGTTCAGGCCTGTAATGAGGAAGCCCAGTCAAAGGAGACCGATTACTTTTTCCTCTGGGTGGAATATGAACTGGCAACAAGGGTAAAGGCCTAAAGGGTTCATTGAGAAGAAAATAGATTAATAAACTCCCTTGCTAATAATTAATTAAGCATTATCTCAATGACAAAGATTAACTTATTTTTGACATTTTTATTTCAATCAATCTAATTAGTAACCAGACATCGTCAAATTATATATCCTATCAACTCTTTATTTATAGGATATGGTATAAATGAGAGATGCAGTTCTCATTTTTCATAAAAACCGATTTCAAGATTCGCAAGGTGGTCTGAGATTATCGAGATATTTAGTATTGGCATTAATATCACGCACGCCTATTCTCAATGCCACAGAAAGGTGAAAGAATAGACTAACCAACTGTTTTCATTGGTCTTATACAATGAACCTATCTAAAAGTTGGTTCTTATTACAAATTTGCAAAGAAGAAGCAAAAAAAAAAAAAAAATCTTGCTTTGTTGTTTTTTTTTTTGGAAGGATTAACTTAAACATGCTGTGTCGTCGAGTATAGATATTTATTTTCTGAAGAAATTTGATGAAAACCAGGTCATTCAAACCCTAAATCATAAAATTGTACTATAAATATGGATATTAATGTTTTCTAAAATTACAAATTAAATTGATGATATAGAATCATGAATAAGTGAAAGAAAAAATGGAGAAGAATGCCAAGTGCTAAAAAATGGATAACTGGAAAGGAAGAAAAAATATAAAAGTCTTTAACTGCATTTATGTGAAAAAACCAGAGAGCATCATTTCGAGAATTTCGGAACATCGATCATTCCAGACAGACCCAACATAGTGCCCCCTCAAAACATCCCATGCACACCCAAAACATAGTTCCATTGAAAGACCCCACTCTCATTGACGCGTGTCAGCTACATATTCTTCTATTATTTTGGCCCCTGCTTTAGTGCTTTTACTTCTTCTCCATGATCATTTCCCACTCACTCTCACACCCTCACTTCACTTATCCCTTGTGCCAGTTTTACTTGCCAAACACTTTGGCTGAGAAAATGAAGGTCGACTCTCATTTTCATTATCATAATCTCTTACATATTTTACTTATCTCTTACTATTTTTTTGGCTTAACATATCAATTGGTGTTTTTCTTTTTTTTTTATCTTCACAACAGATCTTCAATTGGGTGCACAGGAAGTTTAATCATAACGTCATTAAAGGTTCGAATTTGATGCCTTTGAAGTTATATAGTCACGTTAAAGTTTGTCATCCAACTAATGTTTTATTTTTGACCAAATTTCTTAAAGCGGTTGAGTTTCATAACTAGTAATTAATGTATGCAAATCCCTTTTTTTTTATTGTAGTGCATAAATCTTGCTTGCTTTATTGCAGCTGAGTGGTTTTCTAGCCCTCCATCACTTGCCTCCAATTATAATGAAGTAATTTGTTTTTGAGTAATTATATATATTGGTCTGCTAAAACTCCTTAACACGATTTGACTGCATTTTTGTGGGTACACATTTTGACAAATGTTGATGCGAACTAATAGTATACATATGGACGGGAAATTTGTTGTTTTGGGCAGATGGGTTTGCTCGAAATGTGAAGAAGACTGAATCCATTGCGATTGACACCAACACGAAAGCATTACTGGAACAAGTAGCCCTGGTGGATGTGCTTGATGGCTGGAAAGATGGAATTCTAACAATTGGGACTTTTGGTTTTGATTCTCTAAAACCATTCGACCAACCAAAAGAATATTTTATTTTCGAAAGTGAGGCAGAAGAGGAGGAAGGTGAAAATGATTTAATTAACAATGATGATGATTTTGATGAAGACAACGACATTGTTGTTGAAGATGAAGAAGTGAACCCATTGATTTTCACAACATTTGGACACAATTTTAAGGACATTGCATCTGATGGTGATGGAAATGTTGAGAAACGTCATGATGTGATAATAACCCTTGATGGTGTCCCATTAACTCCATTTGTTGGTTCCTCTAATGAACTCAGATTTGAGATAGGCAGCAAAGACAGCGATCAAGGAAAGAAGAGAAGAAGAACAACACTTGCAGACCTGTTCTCAGAAGACTCCGATATCAATTATAAGAAGACAACTTCCTATGAAGTGGAGCAAAATGTGGGTAAAAAACAATCTGTTCGTACAAAGAATGGCCTCTCCTTTGCTAAGAAATTCATTCCTCATGTTAAAGAGGATTCACGTCCCATCAAGAAATTACACCAAGTGAGTAATACTCCTTTTTCCTTTTGTGTACACATGCATGTGTCTTCTTCGTAAAAGATGGAACTGTACAAATATTTAAGAAACGACTTTATTACATATATATATTTATATATTAATTTGAATTGGTAATTTTAGTTGCAATGAAACATTAATTAGATGGTAATTTGCATATTAATTTTCTGATGATCAGATGATGAGGAGGATGTTAAAGAGGAAGATCCATCCAGAGCTTGAAGGCAAAGCTAATAAATCAGAAGGTCAAAACAAGGGTAGCGTTCTTGACCTTCTTGGCAAGAAGAACGAAAATGTTGAATCGGTTTCGTTACTTCCGGTTCCAGGTATCTTTTAAAATTTATCTGGTTTGTTTTACATTAATCTTTTTTAAACCTCACATCACATACAGTAACCTGTAGTGCTGCCATGTTTGACCACATAATCTGTGTTATAGTTAGTTCTCCATAAATATTTTCAGGTGCATTAACATAATCAAATAACCTGGCATCCAATCTGCATGGTTATATAATTTGAAACAAATGCCTAGTCTTATCCTGAACATCCAATCATTGGATTTGCGACAAAAAAATTCATCACCATGGTCAGATTATTATTATTATTGTGTGCTGCATTTCGCCTCATTAATTCCTTTAATATGGGACCTAATTCCCAATTTTCTCTGGCCCATTGTTTGACTGTGAACAAAATAACAACAAAAGATGACCAAATCGAAGAATAGGTAAAAGTAACGATAGGAAAATGACCCTTGCCAACTGCTCATCAAAGATGTGTTTGGATAAATGACTCAATTCTTTGTTCTTGGGCACATAACTGATTATCATCATAATTCAATTCACACGATATGATCACGGTAGATTACTAGCTAGTGGTTCCTATTGTTCTTCTTCTTGGCTTATATATATGTAGGGTTTCTAACAGCTACTAATATTTTACTCAAACACTAATAGTATAAATCCATGGTGGTGTGAAGGTGGGTGGACAGGATGAGAAGCTGAAGCTGTCCTTATTGTTACTACCCACACAAATATGATACTAATCGAATAGTAGTAATGGGTCCCTTTTAGAAAATAACTCGAAAGATAGATACAACTAAAAAGCTGTCAATTAATCACATACCAAATGGTGATGATCTCTGGCCCATGATAATCTCCTTTCCAACGCTGGCCTGCCCATGTCTCCCAAACGATAGGTAGGGACCAATACCCACTATAATTTTCCCTATCATTCTACCAATCATCATCATCATCATCATGCATATGCATGAAGCATTCTAAACTTTTCGTCTTCTGCTTCCAATACAATTTTACTGATTTTTGGACACCTCGTTCCTGCAGATGCTACAGTTTGAGCTTTTGGGTGCATGTTTGACCTAGTTTACTAGAATGCTTTCGGGTATTGTTTAAGTATTAAAGAATTTTTTAATGGAGAATAATGTTAATCAGGTTTGTGCACATGGAGCACTGTGTTCTGCTTTGTAATTTATTTTTCTATTGTTTTGGTTTTAGTGTGTGTACGTTGGGTGTATGTTTGTCGCAACATTATTAACAGGCTTTAATTGGTTTATGTTTTGACAATATATATGATGCATCTCCTTAAGCCAATTTATATATTGCACTTTAACAGTTCGCGTGTTGATGATGGACCTGCAACTTTTATTCTTATTTAACAGCTAAAAACCAAATTTGTCTGTGCTCTTAACAGTAATTCCAGTTATAAAGCTATTCTATAACCACATCAATTGTCATACAGTGTTTTGTTCTTTGATTTTTCATGCCCATTAATACCCCTTTTCACCTCCAAATACATGTACAAATGTTGCATTGAGATGCCTTTTAACCCCTTGAAATGGTCAATATCATTTTTATGTTTAAAGGAATTGGACGGAGAATAATTAATGTGAGGGAGAGAGAGAGTATAGTAGTAACGTCAAAGTCAAAGAAAAAGAAAAAGACTTTTCATCAATCAACCGAAGGTTGGGTAACTTCATTTGATTAATATGGGGTGGAATCCTTATTCAAAATTCATATATAATTTCGAAAGATAAGGTTTTTATTATAAGTGAAATTAGCATAAGAAAACCATCATTGGGTGGTTGATTGGTCAACTAAGACTCTTGAGTATATTATTCATAAATTTGATTCATCTCCTTTTAATAGAGGTGATCATTGAAAGTTTATCCTATTATTAACTTTAGGGTGTGAAGAATTAGTTTTCCTTTTAATTGTGTTACAACTTTCTTCGTCTTAATAATTCAAGGAAAGATGATGGGAGAGGTGTGTTGAAAGATGGAGCCTACATTGGATTATTGTAAGTCGTTGGTTTGACGTCATCTGGCTAAAGGGTGTATACAGTGTTCTAAACTGATTGAATAATTATCAAGTTTTAAGGTCTTAATCAACCCGGATGTTGTGAAACTTATTTTCACTTAGTTTAAGTGTTTGAACTATTAACTTATTCGGAAAAAAAGATAAATTTACTATTGAATTTATGCTACCCACATCCTAAGGTCTTAATGAATTGATAATATGTTTCGTCAATATCAAATGTTTATCTATAGTTTCGTTTATTAATAAATTGGCTCAGTTGTCTAATTAATAAATTAATTATTCCTTATAGAAGTAAAACTTGAAATTAAAAAATAATAATAATCAAATTCAATAAAATTTAAAGATGGTAAATTATCCGTAGATTAAGAGTTGGCAAATTTTACACTTAAATAATTCTACCTATATACCAATGTTCTTTTATATAATTAAGACATTATTAAATTTAATTATGAAGTCACACTGTAGTATTTTTGTCTTACCAAACGTGGAATATATGATTACTGTCCCACATAATTTTTTTTTTTTTTCATAAATCAAATTTATATTATAAGCTAAAAAATTGAAAACAATAATGCTAGATGTACAAACAAATCTTACAAAGATTTATGTATAAACTGATGTGACACAAAATGAATGGAAGAGTGAATACAAAAAGTCACATCAGTTTATATTCACTCTTCCATTCATTTTGTACTACATTAGTTTGTACACAAATCTTTATAAGATTTGTTTGTACATCTAGTATTACTAGTATTTAAAATGACTATTTGTCCTTTGTTTTTTGTCTGTTTGTATGACTCAATTGTACAACTCAGTTATAAGCATAACATTGCTCTATTTTAAAATTATACCATTTTCAATTCAATAAAACTATACTTACAATTTTTTTATATAATCTGAATGTGACAATTCACGATTGGTCAGTTTGTATTTGGAAAGATGAGACTCATTGTGAACTAACCAATCGCAAATTGTCACATTAGAGTTGTATGAAAAAATTATAAGTGTAGTGTTACTCTTTAAATTATTACATATAATAATAAATTATCATGTAATAATAAATCAATAATGTTTTACTTACCACTCGCATAAATGGATAAAACTTATACAAAATTTATATGAAATGACTATTATAACCTTTTTTTTTTTTTTTTTAATGTTTGTATCACTAGCATAAACAGATAAAAATTATACAAAATTTACAAGAAATGACTATTCTAGCCTTCGTTTTTTTGTCTACAATGGCATGGCATTGCTAATAATAAATTATTAATAAATAATGTTGGTAACAACAAAATTAACGGAGTAGATACGGAGCTTAAAATGCAAACTAAGAGGAAAGGGGAAGATAAATCAGACAAGGAGCGGATATCGGGCCTCTTCTCCATCTCCTGTAAGGATAAACAATGCTTTTTCAGCTGATCTTTCGCACAAAATATAGCTTTAAACTTGATGGGTTTTGGGTCATTTGTTGGATCTTGTGTTTTTGGATAGGTTTGCCAGGGTTTGACCTTAACAGTAGCTGCAATTGCAGAAATGGCCAGAGTTATTAAGTTCGAAGAGGTAGCAAAACACAAAGAGAGGGATGATTGCTGGCTTGCAATCTTTGGAAAGGTTAATTCATCTAACTTGTTCTTATGTATCAGTCTTTTGCTTAGCTATAATTTATATTGATTTTGTGGATTGTTTATTTGTTAAAAAGAAAAAAAACAGTGTTCTGTAATTGGATTTAGATGAACTGTATTTATGATTTGATTTGATTCAATATTTGGATTATTTAGGGATTAAGATCCGTAAAAAATAATTTTGTTAATTTTCAGTCATGCCACAGCAATTTGTATCATTTGGCACAGAGCCAACAGGCCCGAGACTACTTACTGCTTTTGTAGCAGAAATTCTTGTTTGGTGGAGGTTTGTAAGTAAGAGGTATTAGATAGGTTATAATTCTTGTTTGGTGGAGGTTTGTAAGTAAGAGGTATTAGATAGGTTATAAAATTTTAAGTGGAGTAAAAAGTAGGAAAGTGGTTACATATCTTCCTTGAATGTACTGGTTTTGAGTTCTCTACATCGAAATTGAAGAGAGTTTTCTTGTTGATGCTTATACAAATGTTTGATCCTGGGTGCTTCTGTCAAATGTTTTTTAGATTTTCTATTTTCCTTTATTGTTATGACTTGCAATCAAAATTCTCGTGCTACTCATAATATTTTTTAACAAAATATTTAGTAACAAGCTTATACAATAAACTCCAGTCTTAAGAATGCTTTTCTTATTCTGGAAAGTTAACTTTTGGAGACATATTAATAAGAATTCCATATTGATTGTGAAATTACCTATGGTTGTTTGTTGAAGGGCTTCTAGTTATAATTGCTTAAATTTGCACAAATTTTTACTTTAAAACTCAAAGTATATACTTCAAAACTTTGACATCATGCACAATGACTCCAAGATTAATTCAGTAGCTTTTCAATTGCGAAGGAACTATATACCCAAATCAACAAAAGTAAAAGCTGAATGAGGAATTGCGAAGCTTGTTCTAATCTCTTTGAATGTTTTTCTTCGTTAATTTTATTATGCTTGTTAGTGGTATATCTGTAACAGTTTGAAGATACAAATTACTAAGAGGGTCTTTTGGTACCTTTAAATGATTCAAGTAATTGATAAACTAGTGTATCAACCTCAAACTGTTGTATCAGGTGTATGATGTGACTTCATTTCTTGAAGATCATCCTGGGGGTGACGAAGTCTTGCTAGCTGTTACTGGTAAGATTGTTGCATTGCCTAGGTTGTACAAACCTCACCCATTGATTACTTCGTTTCATTGCTTTCTGGTATCTTAAATTTTGCAGAGAAAGATGCAACAGAGGACTTTGAAGATGTGGGCCACAGCGATTCTGCTAAAGAAATGATGGAAAAATACTATATTGGTGACCTTGATAGCACCAGTGTTCCACCAAGAAAGAAGTACAAGCCACCTCAGCAAGTAGCGCATAGACCTGATGACTCCGGATTTGCATTGAAGATTATGCAATTCCTGGTACCACTGTTGATCTTGGGTATAGCATTTGCTTTGCGATTCTATGGCAAGAAAGAGGACTAGTTGGATCATGGTATGAAGTTGCGAAAGTTAGTCCATGTTTCTTTGATAATCTATTACTTAATAAGTATAATTGTAGAATTTCAATTGGCACTTTTTATTGGGATTGATCATAGTATGGCTGTACCTTTGATTGCTGCTAATAACAATAGCTTGGTTAATTCATTCCGGTATAGCTATCTGTTAAAATCATTTCCTTACTGGTAGAGATTTCGCTAGTCTTATATTTTACTCTTAGACAACTACAAAGAAAATATATTAAACTAAAAAGAAGAAAAAACAAGCTTCACACAGAAGCAAACATGCATGAGAACTATGTATGTATATTATTATTAATACATAATACATTGCTTTGGAATGTTAGTTATGGCTAATTAGGTACGGAGATCTCCAATGTATGAAACAAAGGTCTTTTCAACTATTCCTGTATGGATGGGGTTTTATGGAATTAGTTTTCCATATAAATTCAATCACCCTTAAAAAAAAAATTTAACAATAAATTAATTAAAAATCTATTTAACTCCCTGGACATCCCAAGCTTGCATTTAAAAAAATGACCCTAAAAATATTTTTGAATTTTTTTTTTTTTTTAATTTAGAAAAGCTCACGTGACACACTTAAGATTCATTAAACATGTAAAATGGGTTAAACTAAAAATATTTAAACATATGTGAGTAAAATCTAATTAACGAAAGTTGTTTAAATTTTGAAATTTGAAAACGAGCCCCCACCTTTCAAAATCGTTTAATCGAGCCATATACCCAAAAAACGACCGATGAACACTATTTGTTTCTTTGCGATTTCCAACGACTACAGTGCCTAAATTCTGGCAAATTTTCAATCCTAAAGCTTTCTTACACAAAACCATGGCTGACATTCACAAAGAGGAGGAAAACCCAACCCCACTTCGAATCCTAAACTTCGGCGTCGCCAACAGTTCAATAGCT